AAACTAATTTTTAAAGATATTTTAATGTAATATAATTTGAAATGACTTAAATATCCAAGTTTATTGTACTTAAAAAATTTTTTTACGGTGTACATCATAGATCTAAAGTAAATGGAAAAATAAAATGAAAAGTCTTGCACCTCTGTGACTTCTTCAGATTCTGGAGTCTCTTTCTCTATGTATTTCTCATCAGGCTGTGGGACCACCTTTCCAATTCCCTGCGAGATCCAGCCAATAACTCTAGCCCTGGCAGACAGAGAGCACTCACTGTATGGACACTTGATGCACAAGGATTCTTCACTGATATTGCTGGTAAGAATATTGTTCATTGCCTTACCTGTCAGCAGCGCCTTCCTCCTGCAGTGACTGAAACATGGTTCAAAGAAAAGTTCATTTCCAAAGAAAAAATTTGCTTTGAATGCACACTATATCCAATATTAAATGGTGTTAAATATCAATTATTTGAAATGAAATCAATACTTTAGCATCAGAGTTGGCTCTCGTAAGATGAGGACTCCCTGCAGGTTGTGGCAGCGCACTCGCAAAACCATTGGAAAGCCAGTTCAACATGCCATTCTGAACACTGAAACAGAGAAGTAGGTTTCAGGTTCAAACATTCACAGAGTGTCTTATTTTATGGATAAGATCAGTCAAGACTCACCTCCCCTGTGAGGTTTGGGATGATTGGTCTTCCTCCCTGCCTGTTTTATATGAATTGAACTTATCTGCATGAGAAGAAAATAGAAAGAGGCTCATTGTGCATTAGTATACCATTTTAATTGATTTTAGAGTATTAAATTTTACATTATCCCCCCCCCCCAAAAAAACATTTTTAATACATTTAAGGGTGCTGTGAATGTACCTTGATTTGATGTTTTCCCATTCTTCATAGAAAATAAGATAAGAAATAAGAGAATCAGAGATTTAATACATGAGAGAACATGACTTATTTAATTTTTTTTTTTTACTAAGGCTGTCAAATGATTAATCGTGATTAATCAAATCCAAAATTAAAGTTTGTGTTTACATAATATATGTGGGTGCACTGTGTATAATTATTTTGTATATATATATATATATGTATATATGTATGTATGTATGTATGTATGTGTATATATATAACACACATACATGTATATTTAAGAAAAAAATATTATTTATATATAAAATAGTTATATTTATATAAATAGAAAATAGAAATATTTTCATGTATATATACTGTATATAGATTTATATATAATTTATATGATATATATAAATATTTATTTATAAATAATATTTTTTACTTAAATATACATGTATGTGTGTGTATTTATACATATTTTATTTTATATATATATATTATATATTATTTTATATATATATATATATATATATATATAATTATACACAGTGCGCCCACAAATATTATGTAAACACAAACTTTTATTTTGGATGCGATTAATCGCAATTAATCGTTTGACAGCCCTATTTTTTACGTGAGGGGGTTAAGTTAGACTTGGCCATTTTGACATTTTTTAAGAGAAAAGGAAGACAAAAAATGATAGGGTAAAGAAGAGGGAATGACATCATAAAATTTAGCGAGCCAGATTTTAACCTGCATTACTGACATGATTGAGCACCATGGGTCAATACAATATGTCAGAACATATGTGCTAACCGCTAAGCCAGGGGTCTCTAACTACCGCACTGTTACTGTGAAATTCAGTCACAAATATTAGTGAGGTGTGTTTTATGAGCGCAGGCTTTGGTTTACCGTTGTAATTGGCTCGTCCTTCAGATCGTCCTGTGTATCAGGAGGATGTGGCACGACCTTCACCACCCAGTTAAACATCCTGAGAGAAGGGGATAAAACTATTAAATCAAGAAATATCTCTTAAACACATACAGTGTCTGTAATGATAGAATAGACTATGGAATAATGGCATTTGAATCATCGTGTAGTAAGTATAGATCTTAACCTGAAACAAGTTTCATTTAATTATGTTTCATCCTCGTCAAGCTTAATCTAAAACCCAGGACCCTCGCTGACAGCTAATGCTTGCTAGCTTCATATGCTTCAGTCCATAATGTTCAAAGAGATTTGTTTCTAGGACAAGGATTTCATCTTTAGGGAAAGCCCAATGAAGTTCCTATTTATCCAAACCTATAGAGCATCTTTACAGGGAAACCCCACAACCAGTTTAGAAATAGAATGATGTCATGTTTCTTTTTCACATCCATTGCAAACACAAGAGGTTTGATGAGCTTATTAATGAACAATGAATGTAGTTTTTCAGACTAATTCTCATGACAGACTCACTCTAAAATTCTCAGACAGATTTGGACACAGTTGTACCTCATAATCGAAGCAACCAAGATATTTTGTAAGATTGTTCAGGCCCATTATGGCAGCCATTAAAACGATTAGCAGTCAGCAGTTGCACTGCAAGGGGTGAGGGAGTCAAAGCAAAGGCAGTTAATCACTTCCTTTACCTTCACTTTTTCCATCTAAATGGACTCGATCTGTCTTTCATCTACAAAAATATTCTGCACAAAGCAAAATGAACAGTCCATAGCCTAGAAGACCAAGATGCTAACCATCTGTCAGAGCTTAGCATTGGATAGCATAGCTGATGTTTTACATTTACCTTGCAAGTTGTGGTTTTACATCTTATTTGAATGTACATTAAGCTTGCATTGAATGTAATAATGTATTTATATAAACTACTGTTTAAAAAATGGGGAAGAAATTAATACTTTAATTTAGCAAAGATGCATTATATTGACATTAAAGGCCCTTGTAATGTTACAAAAGATTTCTTTTTCAAATAAATGAACTTTCTATTAATCAAAAATCATGAAAAATGTATTACAGTGTCCAAAATAATATTAAACAACAAAATCTCAACATAATAACAATAAGA